GACGAACCTGCTGCTGCTGCTGCTGCTGCTGCTGATGCTGCTGCTGCTGCTGCTGATGATGATGCAGAGCAGCCGCGCAGCAGTTTCGCGGGGAAGGGAAAGGCGGGCAGCGGCGCTGCAGCAGCAACAACAGCAACAGCAGCAGCAACAGCAGCAACGGCAGCAACAGCAGCAGCGCAGCCAGCAGCTGAAGAAGAAGGAACGCTAAAGAGGGACCCTGCAGATGCAGCAGCAGATGCGGGAGAAGCAGCAGCAGCAGCAGAAACTGCAGCAGCAGCAGCAGCAGCAGTGCCAGAGGAAATGGACGTGATAGAAGGCAACAAGGATGTTGCAAGCTCTGCAGCTCCTGTTGCTGCTGCTGCTGCTGCTGCTGCTGCTGCTGCTGCTGCTGAGGCTGAGTCTGCGGTGGGCCGCGAGTCATCTGCCAGCCCGTCTAAGGAGACGAAGCAGCAGCAGCAGCAGCAGAAGCAGCAGCGGCAGAAGCAGCAGCAGCAGCAGCAGCAGCAGACTCTGGCTGGAGAGGAAGAGACAGCGAAGCAGCAAGCTCTTGATGACGCGGAGGGGGCAAAAGCACCTGCGGCTCAGCAGCAGCAGCAGCAGCAGCAGCAGGAGCAGCAGCAGGAGACGAAGCAGGAGGAAGAGCAGCAAGAGCAGCAGCAAGAGAAGCAGACGGCGCAGCAAGAAGAGCAGCAGCGGGAACCGCAGCAAACGCAAGAACAGGAGAAGCAGGAGCAGCAGCAGGAGCAGAAGCAGGAGCAGCAGGAGCAGCAGCAGCAGGAGCAGCAGCAGCAGCAGCAGGAGCAGCAGCAGGAGCAGCAGCAGGAGCCACCTTCAACCCAACAAGAAGCTGAGGCAGAGAAGCAGAAGGTCGGCGAGCAGCTGCAGCAGCAAGAGCAGCAGCAGGAGCAGCAACAGAAGCAGCAAAAGCAGCAGCAAGAGCAGCAGCAAGAGCAGCAGCAAGAGCAAGGCGAGGCCGCGGCGTCTGCAAAGAAGGGCAAAACCCAAAAGGCAGTTGCACAAGCAAAATCCAGCAGCAGCAGCAGCAGCAGCAGCAGCGGCAGCAGCAGCAGCAGCGGCAGCAGCAGCAGCAGCAGCAAGAAGAGGAGCGCCAAGTCTGGTGATATTCGGGTGTCACGAGAGCTGTGGGGTTTGCTGCAGGAGAACTACCAGCCTATAGAGCCGCGCAGGACTGCAGCACGCAGCAGCAGCAGCAGCAGCAGCAGCAGCAGCAGCAGCGGCAGCAGCAGCAGCAGCAGCAGCAGTACGTCGGCAGGTCGCAGCAGCCAAGCGAAGAGTGCTGAAGTGCCCCAGAAGAAAGAGCAGAAACAGCAGCAGCAGCAGCAAGCCAAAGCGCAAGAAAAGCAGCAGCAGCAGAAGCAGCAGCAGAAGCAGCAGCAGCAGAAGGAGCAGCAGCAGAAGCAGCAGCCAGCTGCGGCTGAGGGGGATACCGCAGGGAGCACACGCGTCTCTACCTCGAAAGCAGCAGCAGCAGCTGCTGCTGCTGCAGCAGCAGATGCAGCAGCAAAGGAGGAGCAGATGGAGAAGCAGCAGGGAAGTAAACCCACAGCAGCAGCACGGGGCAAGGCTGCAGCAGCAGCAGCAGCAGCAGATACAGAAGCAGCAGCAGCAGCAGAAGCAGCAGCAGCAACGCCTTCAGAAAACACTGAAGTGTGCCCAACACCGTCTGCTGCAGCTGCAGCAGCAGCAGCAGCAGCAGCAGATGCAGCAGAGTCTGCAGCAGCAGATGCAGCTGAGTCAGCGCAACCTGCAAAGGGCTCCCAAGACACGGGTAAGATATAAGCTGCTGCCGTTGCTGCTGCTGTTGCTGCTGCAGCTGCTGCTGCTGTTGCTTTCGGCAGCGTCGGTGCTGCTGCTGTTGCTGCAGTTGCTGCTGCTGCTGCTGCTGCTCTCACTCATTTTTTAGTGCTAGCTCTCGCTGCTGCCGTTTTTTTTTCTTTTGCTGCTGCTGCCTTTGCTGCTGCACTTGCTACCGCGTCTGCTGCTGCATGTGCTGCTGCCTCTGCTGCTGTGTCTCTCTCTTTTGCTGCAGCAGCTGCTGCAGCAGCTGCTGCAGCAGGAACAGAAGGTGAAGGCCTGGAGTCGCTGCTGTCTGCTGCTGGCATTCGGCTGACGCGGACGATGCTGAAGCAGCTGCAGGAGCCAACAGAGCCGCAGCAGCAGCAGCAGCAACAGCAGCAGCAGCAGCGGCAGCAACAGCAGCAGCGGCCTGCCAAGCCTGCAGCA